AAAAAGAGACTGTCCGCGCTTCCCGTGCGGGAAGGAGGAAATGCTGGCGCATTCCCTTGCGCTCACCCTGCGGAAACAAGGAACTGTCAGCGCTACCCGTGCGGGAAGGAGAAAATGTTTGCGCATGCCCTGCGGGAAGATAAAACTGCTGCGTGGTAGATGCATACCACCTTGTGTGAACATGTGATGCAGGCACAGTCAGTCGCCATGTACAGGCGTTTACACACACACACACATGAACACCCCTGGCAGGAGTAGTTGGTGTTTACATCCTACAGTGGGGTTCTTGGCTTGGCCCTCGCTGAGCGGTCTCAGTGATATCCTCACCACACACATGCCCCTGGAGCCAAGACTCCAAGACCCCAACATAACAGCGCCTGGTGCAGCCTCGCTCGGAGGCTCGCCAGCCCGTCGCATCAACCCCGAGGCCAAACTTCTTCTGCAGCTCGGCATCCTTGTCGCGATGCAAGCCCACGGCCCCTCCAAGCAATCCCCCTCAACATGAAACAGAAACATCTGCGGGATTTCGGGCCTTTCGATTGTCGGTCTGAACATGCCCCGCCGATGAAAACATGCAAGATGCAAGCACGACCGGGCGCAGTACTGGCTGCTACAGTATGTCTATGTGAGACAGCGTGGGCACCCAGCCTCGGATTCGACGGTGCCAGTAACAATTTCCTTTCCTCAGTTTGTGGCACAACCGACAAGGCAGACAGATTCTGCAGCAGAAATCGTGACGGCCCTCAAATCCTTGGTCTTCCGTTTAGCAAGGTAAGCGATGCAAACGCCCTCCGCTGAACCCTTGCCGAGACGATTTGCGTGCGTCGATCCTGGAACACCGCTACAACCGCAACCATTGCAATGGATTGTGCATCATTGCGTGCTGCAGCAAAGGCCGGAAGCCACTCAGGCTTTACAGGATCTTTGCTGCAAGTGTTGTAAGAAGACGCTGGCGGGAGCACAAACCCGAAACTTAGATCTGCAATGCAAACGTTTAGTTGCAGATGTGCTTCGATACACCGTGTGTAGGCCAGGGTAGGATGGCGAGTCCAACTCCTCTTCCTTGATTGAGCTGGCTGTTGTGTCAAAGCGTTGGCTTCGCCATGGGCTTCATGGTCCCAGCTTATCGTTAGAAGACCGGTCGCAGTTACCTTCGGACTGCGACCTCCGAGCAGGACAGGACCAAGGCAGTAGTTATGGTCACTAGCTGCATTCCCAAGGCCCTGATTTACTTCACGTTCGGCTACACCAAACACTACCATCCCGCAACCAATGCGAATTTCACAAGCCAGGATCCTGGTTGATCACCAGGTGGAGGTTGAAGGAGACCTTAGGCACGTAACGAGGCAGACAAGAAACGATTCTTCTGGCATTTGCCATCTCGTGTGCATCATGGCACGTGAAAACCACCCTATTGAATCAGCATGCCCGAATGCTTCTGGACGACAAGCTGTGAATTATGCCGGACGGCAGGAAATTGATTGGATTCGACTGACTTCGACAACATCGGCAACAATCACTCAAGCAGGATATGCGCCGTCGTGACAGGCGTAAAGGCATGGTGTCACGCAATCTACTAAACCAACGTCCTTTGATCCGTCTACAGCGTACTTGTGTCTTACTTGAGACCGCTGTCTGTCTAACGACTGTGCCCACTATGCGAGTGGTGCGGTCGTTGCAGCATTCTGCAGGACGGCACCAGAACCTGTGCATTCAGGACAGCTGACCCACGCCGCATCTAGCTCCTCTTGCTGCTTTGAGTTCCTCTCATCTTGAAGACCCACTTGCACCAATACGGTTGCTTTTGAAGTTGTGCCGCTGTGGTCAAGAAACAGCACCGGGAACAGAAGGCTGTGACCGCACCGGGCAGCGAGCCCCGCCCCTGAGATGTCACATGCGACTTCTGCGGTCCAAGGCGCCAAGGCCGGATCCAAGTTCAATGTTTCCTCAACTTGTGACAAAAGCTACATGTCGTGGGCATGAAGGCCAAACCAAAAAGCACTTGGACTGGTAGTGTGAGTGCTGGCATGAGCCGCGGAAGAACCATGAAGCAGAAGCACCGTAGCAGCAAAGGAAGGGAGATCGCTTAGGTTGCAGTGCCTGGAGCTTCTCCTACGGCTACTACTGCAGCTGCTGCCACTGCCCCTGCTGCTACTGCTGCGGCTACCGCTACTGCTACCACAACAACCACTACCACTGCTACGACGACGACGCTGCCGATGACGACGACGCCCGCCGCTACTACTCGTTCTGCTGCTGCTGCTGCTGCAGCCTGTCCGGAACTTGGTCCAAGCAAGGTCCGGTTCTGCCTGTCCGGGTGTCCATCTGTTGTCAGTTCGGAGCCACTCTCCAGCTTAAGACGTCGCTGAAGCAACCGGCTGTTATCCAAGACCGGGACTGAAGCTGCCAAACGCCCCGATTTGCGATGGCTGACAAACTAGTGCCAAGAAATTACGGAAGAGAGTTTCCACAACGCCATCTTTGAACATGTCCGCTCTTATGCTCTCGGTAGTCACCACGTTTCTGATTCTCACTGACTGCGAAGGTGAAAGAGGCTGTATGACATAGGCGTTTTGACATCGGCCTGAACAGACAAGGCCCCCCTCCAAAGATCGCAGGTCCTCCAGAATTCGTTCAGCTGTCTGGCGGATGTTCTCCGTCGTCTCCTACAAAGGCTCCGCATTGACATTCGACGTCGCAGGACTTGCCCGAAGTTTCAAAGCTATGAGCTTCTATTCCTGTGGATGTGCTGTGTATCGTCCATGACTTAAGTCCAAATACTACACCAAAGGCTTCGTTCTACCCTCGCCTTCTTCGAACCTGGCAGACGTCGCGTCGGTCTTCGACGCCCGTCCGAGAAGTGCTCCTCGACGACAAGCTCTGACCGAGGGAAGCATTTTCCCCAGAAGACTTCTTTCAAGATGCTGCGAACATTGCTAGTGCGAACACACATGCTGTGCAAGCCAATACTAACAGATGCCGCCTTGCCTCCTCCAGACTCTGAAGTACCCTGTCCAAGCTTTCTGATACTTTCTGACTGGTACCCTCCACCCACGACTTGGATAGCGAAGTCTGCACTATCAGTCCTCCATGTCTACTAGGAGCCGGTCCTGTTCATCCTGTGGTCAGCTGTGGAGTCTTGAACAGCATGCTTCGTAGCTTTCTGGTTACTTCAATGTCTTTGGTTGGCTGAGGTAGCAGCATAGAGCTTCAGCACGACCACATCCACGACTCGCACAAGTTTCCTTTCATGCAGCCGACGACAGGGCAACAGGCTTGACTCCACGTGTTCTGGAAGTTCTTGGCTGCAGACGGCCATCGAGGATGAACTTATATCAGTAGCCATACAGCTGTGCTGTGTATGAGTGTGGGCCTCACAACCGACCAGCCGATCCTTTGCTCAGCGCTCCCTGAAAGCAAGGCCCGCAGAGGCCCACTGTACAAATTCGGGTGGGTGGCTTGTAGTTTGCTGCATCCAGCCTGAGATCAGGGCAGGGTGGGCAGGCGATCTCGAAACAACGCTAGCGAGTTCGGTTGTGCCGGGAAAGATGTTTTGGGAATTTGCTATCTGCAGGATATCCAACACGTCAGCCACGGAAAGAGCCCGGGGCTAGTCACCGGTTTTGACATGTTTTGACAGTTGCGTCAGGAACTACCATCACCTCAGAGCCTCACGGATTGTGTATGTTCACGGCCACGTTCGGGCACACACGCTCCGCAAGCAATCAACACAACGACGCAACGCACCAGAAACAGGAAGCACGGCAGCCGGAGGCGCCACACATCCAAAACTCTGTCGGGGCACATAAGCCGCGAGGCCCCGCTGTGCACCTTCGTGCCAGGCGGAAGAACTTCTTCTTTGATTGATTGATGCACACGCAGAGCACACGGCAAGAGAGGAAATGTGGCATCACGGCCCTTGAGCAGGCCTCGGCTGCAAGGGCCTGCAGCGACTTCGCGCGGTCCACACCAAACTTGGCCTCAGCGTTGGGCGGCGGCCCAGAGACTCTCAATTGGGACTGCGACACACCGCGACCGTCCTTCCTCTCCCGGAGACAAGATACCGTCTCGATGTTGTGCTCCCTCAAGAACTTATCAAACAACCTCAGCATTTCTTCAGTGCTTCCATGCTTGGAGTACTGAAGGTCGTCGGAAACACTCAATCAAGACTGGTTTACGAACAGCTCGATGTCATTTCATCTCCAACTCTAGCAGAAGGCAGAAGGGCCCGAACACTCAACGCTCCCAAGGTCACAACGGCCTACCAGCACGCACCCCAACAAAAGCTTCAAATTCTCAGCCTCGTGAAGACTCGTCCTGGACATTTTCTTGAATCAAGTACTGCTGTTTTTGCGCAGCGGGTAGGCAGTCACTGGGTGCCGCCTGAGGAGCTGAACGTCTGGCCTGGTTGCAGTGACCGACACGACAGAAAGTCCGGAGCTTTCATACTGGCTGTGCAGATGCTCGCAGTAAAGCTTGCCCAGCTGTCAGGACAGAGTTCGCTGCATGCTGCTATGTGGAAAGCTTGCAGCTATTATCAGTGTGGAGTGTTCAGGGTAGTCCAACGAGGACTTGCGTCATGGCTTGTCGAAGGATCTACTGGTGCAGACAGGAAACGGGGACAAAGAAAGACACTCTCCGCTGTGATCGGTCTCAGTTTGGCCGTCCATAAAGCCTGCGCAAGGACAAGGGCTGGCGTTGGCAAATGCCTCCGGACCAGAACAAATAGTGAACGCCGAAAGCTACCCGGAAAACCGTTTGCAACTTCTGCAACATGCATGCAGTCTTGCATTGCGCGATACAGTATGGCATAGGGGCACAGCACGGCACCTGCCTTACACTAAGCTGTCACGAATGAGTAACATGTCAGTAGTACGATGTCTGCGACCTCGAAGTGGCAGCCGGCAATTGACTGCCAAAGCCCGTTCGTGTGCTGATATGAACACCGAGTAGCGGTGCAGGGAATTCTGCTTCCGCAACAGATTACCTTGGTTTCGGCAATCCAGTAATGAGCACTGCTGGCGGTTTGGGCCAACACAAGTAAAGTCTCTCATGGGACTGCAGTCTTGTCCACCCAGGGTGGACGAGCGCAGCGGACTATTCCAATTGGCAGCAATGCTCTTACGATGTTACTCTGTCGCAGCTGCCTTTGCCGTAGTAGCGGTCGTCATACCAGCAGCATGGGCAGCAGCAGCAGCAACAGTTGCAGTCAGTAGGTGTAGCTGCCGCAGTACCGGTAGCAGTTGCAGCTTCCGTCCAAAGTCTGTCCAAACCGGAACTACAATTATTGTTAGCGACAGCAGAAGCAATAGCAGCAGAAGCAATAGCAGCGGCAGCAGCAGCAGCAGCAGCAGCAGTAGCAGCAGCAGTAGCAGTAGCAGTAGCAGTAGCAGCAGCAGCAGCAGCAGTAGCAGTAGCAGTAGCTATAGCAACTATAGCAGTAGCATCAGCAGTAGTGGCGGTAGCAGAAGTAGTAGCAGTCGTTGTGGCACTGCTGATGCCCCAAATCCTGCATGACATACAATGTCGCAGATATCTCGTGTTGCGCTACTAACTTCCTCGCAACCTCCTAACTTTCAATGTTGTATCCTTTTGGGATCATACGGGATTTAGTCGTCGTCGTAGTAGTAGTAGCAGCAGCAGCAGTGGCAGTAGTAGAAGTAGTAGAAGTAGTAGTGGCAGTAGTCGTCGTCGTCGTAGTTGTTGTTGTTGCTGCAGTGGTAGTATTGTGACTGGCGTGCGAGCAGAAGTGTGAGCAGAAGCGAGTCAGGTGAGCACAGGAGCGTACACATTGATGCGTGGAATGATGTGGTGGCCAATGCCCGCGAACCTCTGGGGTCCCGCTCACACTCCTGCTCACACTTCAGATCACTTTTTTGCTGTGTTTTGCAACAAAAAAGTGTGAGCGGGAGTGTGAGCGGCTCTGACTCTTCTCGGTCCCACACGTCCGCTCACGTCACACTTCTGCTCACAGTCATAATCCCCGCTCAACACTCAACCTCACACTGCCTCTTACACCCAACCTCACACTTCCACTCACACTCTCGCTCACACAACGGGAGTAGTCGTAGTAATACGTCGTACTTTAGTAATACTAATGATCGTCGCAGTCGTGGCGGTGATCGTGGTGGTAGGCGTACCAGGAGGAGGAGGAGGAGGAGGAGGAGGAGCAGGATGAGCAGAATCCCACTGTCGACAAGTCAATCCCGCCAAGGGGCTTGGAATCCACTTGTAGTAAAGTGTTGCGTCCTGTGTCTGGATGAAGAACTGGTTCTTTGTGTGGTTCCTGAGGCTTCCAACCATTTATGCACACGGGAGGGGCGATGCTGAGATGCTTTAAGCCTGGGGCATGTGTGTGAACAGCGGGGGGCAGAAGCTGCGATTGTCGGATCATGCCAACAGGTCGTATAGTAGTTGTGGGACATTATTGCCCGATTAAGTATGATGTGGTGAAGACTGGCGGGCATGGTCTTCTGCAGCCCTGGTGACCTCTTCGTGCCGTCAAGTCTCATCAAGCGGCGGGAAGCTGTCGGGTTGGCAGCTGGATCCTGAAACCCGTGTCTCGGTTGTGAGAGAGCTGGCTACAATCGGCCTTGCCGCTGACACAATACCGCAGTCCAACTCCTTGTTTCCATTGTCCTACTCAAACACTTACTTGCACACCGACCACTACGACTACAACAACTACCCGTCAGCACAAGCCTATCGTAACCAGCCGAAAGTCCACACCACCCAGTTAGCATGCGTTAGTGGCACGGCACTAGTAGTCGCCGTCGTCGTCGTCGTCGTCGTGGCAGCAGCAGCAGCAGCAGCAGTTGTCGCCGTCGTCGTCGTAGCAGCGGCGGCAGCAGCAGTGGCAAGCAGCGGCAGTAGTAGTGAGAGTGGAGAAATAGGAATAGTAGTCATCGCAGTCGTCGTCGCGGCAATCGCAGTCGTAGTGCAGTCGTAGTCGCAGTCGGAGTCGTCGTAGTAGTAGTTGTTGTCGTCGTCGTCGTAGTGTAGTAACCAGCCGTTGCAGTAGAAGCAGCAGAAGCAGCATCAGTAGCCGTAGAAACAGCAGCAGGAGCAGAAGAGAGCAGCAGCAGCAGCAGCAGCAGCAGCAGCAGTAGCAGTAGTAGTGTGTTGCTAACAGTAGCAGCAGCAGCAGCAGTAGTGGTAGTACCAGAAGCAGCAGGTAGAGGTAGTGTTAGTGGCAGCGGCAGTAGGACTGCTAGTGATTGTGGCAGTGGTAGCGGTGGCGGTTGTGGTCGTGGTCGCGGTACTGGAAGTCGTAGTGGTCGTAGTCGTAGTTGCCGTCGTCGTAGTAGTAGCAGCCATGGTAGTGTAGTAGTAGCAGCAGTAGTTAGTACTAATTAGCGGTAGCGCTAGGGATGGTGGTAGTGGCCGTGGTCGTGGCAGTGGGAGTGGTAATAATATTGTGATAGTGGTAGTGGCGGTGGTAAGTAGCAGTGGCTGTGGCACTGGCAGCGGTAGTAATAGTGGTACATAGTCGTAGTGGTGGTCATGTCGAGGTCGGAGTGGCGGAAGTGGTGGCATCGGGAGAGGTAGTGGTACTGGTAGTGGTAGTGGTAGTGGTAGTCGTAGGGGGTCGCATCGGGTCTTGCTTTTGTTGTTCTTCTTGTACTAAGTGGTAGAAGTTGCTGTGGTTGTAGGCACAGTAGTTGTCCATGCAGGTCGCTGCCTTCCTCGCATTGCTAGTGCTGCACGCATTTCTGAATGTTAGTAGCAGTAGCAACAGAAGTAGCAGGCATAGTGACGGGGTGGGCAGCAGTGCCAGTGGTGCAAGCTACCGAGATTAAACCAAACTCGCCAGTAACGCAACTGCTGCTCTAGTCTGCAAATTTGACATCGCGGCTGCCTCTGTCCGTCAAGGTGAGTCTAGGTAGGCACACAGCAAACACAGCACAGGTGTCCATCGTCAAATGCTCTTGCTGCATGCGGTCGATAAGGGACAAACGCCTCGCCAAAGCCGGCAACATAGCAGGGCGCTACTCTCTGGCAAAACACAAGACAGGCTCAGCAAAAGCAGACTGCACTTCAAGAAAGTCATGGCGTCTTTGCATGTCTGAAACTCTGGACGGGTTTTCAACTACAGTAGAAGCGAGCAAGTTGAAACATCATTATCCTCATGGCCTTAAGGTAGAGTAGAGGCAATCCCAGCACTAGTCATCCTAAATCCATGTTCCAACTTTCTGGGGTTCACTATATTTTCATTCGGCAAACTAGTCTTGCCGGAACGGTATCGAGGCTTGCTACAGTCAGCATGCTTTCCTGCATCCGGACCGAGCCTGCGCGTCACCTCGTGGTCCACCTCGGCTTCCTGACATCTTCAGAAGAGTCCATGAGATGCACGTAGGTTCTCTGGCCGTGGTATGAGTTTTCTTTAGCCGGAGCCCTTCAGTCTGCAGATATCTGCAGATGGACCCTCGACCGACGAGGAAACAAAGTCAAAATGTCCTGAAAGCTTTCGCCATCGAGCCCGCTGTTCTCGCTGAGGAAGGATGTCCTCGGTCCATGCTTTGCCAAGCCAAGCAGTCTATTTTGCCTCGCGGCCTCACAACATCATCGAGGCCTGCCTGCTGCGACTCCAACAAAGTCAGCGGCATACAGCCCAAAAAAGACTTACTTACGTGCAAACCACCGAAGCAGTCGTGAGACAACGGTTGGACGATCAACCGCAGCTACGGACACAAATACTGCTCTGTTGAAACCACGGTGCTGCAGCAGCATGGTTGTTGTTTTCCGCGTGCCTTGGCCGGTCAGGCGTACCGCTCAGCTGATCCATTTCGGGGACTCGGATTCAGGGCACCAGCCCCGATAGATGCTTTCAAACCGATCTTCGTCATCCACCTTCCACGACATGCAGGCCTTCTGGAAAGAAGGGCCACTGCAGCATCCACGGCTCGCTCATAGCTTCGGTAGCTTTGCATCGAATCCACAACCATGAAGGATCCGACCCGAGGCGATGACCATCCAGCCAGGGGTGTCTGAGGATGTCCGCGGCTGAAGCCCGCTGGCCCTCCTCTTTCTTCAACCTGGGCAGTTGCCCGGCAATGAAACTCAAAACAGGTGCAAGAATGTCCTCCATGACGGAGCATGCTGGCCTAGAGAAGCTGGACTGCAGGCCGGAGCACATCATGGAAATCATCTCCGCACATTCGTCATGGACGTAAGGTGGGAAAAGAATCTTCGCACAAACAGGGTGATGATCAAAACTGCTTGCACCAAACATCTCCGCCCTCGCAGCTAGACTCGCGCATGGCCATCACCGGCCTGCTTGCTCCTCACCTCTCCTTCGCCCTGACACCCCAAAAGGCACAAAACAATGGAAAGTATGGCAAGTCTCGGGATGGAGCTCTACAGCTTTCACATCGCGGCCTTGAATGGAAACTTCGTGGTGACAAGGCCGAACGTCAATACGCCAAGTGCCCAAACATCCACCTGCCAGTGAAAATGAACTCGAGACAAGCATGGCGGCTCCAAGGTTCCCGTCGTTCCCGTGTCGAGTCAACTGGCCTTCTCGATATAAGACAGATCATAAAACCTCGGATGCTCGTGGCAACGGCTGCTTCCGGCCTCATCGTTACAGGTTTTCAGGGCGGATACCGTCTGAGTCGATCCTTCGCATGGCCGGGTTCCGGACGCTTGCCTACCTGACTACCACAGGGAGCGGAGACCGCTGCCACCGCAGCTCTGACATGCCAACTTCAAGCACATCTTCATCATGCAACACTGCAGCAACAGGATGGATCCAAAATCGTCCAGTTTGCAACACCCAGAAACTCTGGTGACCAGAACGGTTGGGTGCCGCATTCTGCGTGCAGCCGTCTACCTGTGCGGGTCTGTTGGAACTCGGGGCATATGGTCCCTTACTCCGTTTCTTTTAGAAAGCACCTCGCCCCGTGCATCAGTTGAACCGCATGGCGAGGTTGATTGATAAAATGAACTGACCAAGCACTTGATACTTACATGTCCTGATTATGTAAACACATCATTGCACAGTCCCAGTTTCACTGTGTTCCACTACTGCATCTCTTCAAGAACACTCATATACCAGTGCCATGTCCCACCTGGCTCCAAACGACACGCTGTCCCGAAGTCCGTGAGGGCAAGTTTACCTTACTGCTGGAAAGGCTGGCATCCGATGCGTGTTGATGCTACTGCACAAATGCCATGCGATTGCATGAGAGTGAGGAAATAGAAGTCCCAGATGCATTGGGAACAAGTCAAATCCGTGCGATCCATCAGGAAGTTGTCTCCCTTGATGTCCTTGGAATTCTGCCCCGACACCCATCGACTGTGTCAAAAGTCCAAAAGGATGGTGAAAATCAAAGGCACCCGACATTGAAATGCACTGATGGTTTCCGCTGGCTTGTTGCTTGTTGAATTCAGGGTGTCAAAGGGTAAGATTGCATAAGCATGCACTACCGCGTGAGTCGATGTGACAAGCCAAGGATAGAAGCCGGAAGTGCATGGAGAGCAGCAGCCCAAGAGTGCCTTCGGTCTTTGATAACAAGACGGGTGTCTCGATGAACGACGTTCCGGCTGTGCACGTATTCGATAGCTGCCGCCATCTGTCCTGAGGAGACGTACATTCAACCCCTCGCCTCTGACAACACATGCTTCTGCAGGTAACCGTTGCAGCCAAAGCAGCGAGTCACGTGCACCTCAGCTATGCGATCCCTCTGAGTAGGCATCTAATGGTATCTAATCAAGCAGCTGTTGCCAATTACAACTCATTGCCTTGACTTCAGTCCACTGTGGGCTTTTCTGGGTTCGCCCAACCGGACTTGTGACACGAAGTCATGGACCATCCAATCATCTAACCGTCGATCGAGTACATCGTGCAATCAAGCCGCCATGGTGTGATCTGGGAAAATGCGCTCGGCCCTCGTTCTCTCCTCAATAGTAAATCCGGTGTAGCCCTCACAAAGACGAGTACGGACATCCTGCGCGACATCATCCGGCCATCGACATGGGCCATAGGAGCCCTTGCTCAATGACGACATTTGGTCACAGATAGGTTCCAACGGGCTCGTGACAATGCAGGCGAAGCCCAGGAGAGACACAGAGAGACCAGGACAGCCAGGACACTGAAAACGGAGAGGCGCCAAGGACTTGATGTATTCTTGCTTGCTTCCCGTCTGCGGGTGACACACCCGCGAATGAAGTGGGCTGACCTGGTGTCATTATATAAGCCCGTCCAAAACTTGTCCACACCACCAAGGCAGCGGAATTGCCTCATCAGTCATGAGCGAACTTCAAGGCTTCTGCAGCACTGCGGGCATCGCCCAGAGCACAGGAAGCAAAGCAGCCTTGTGATGTCATCAAACAAAACACATCTGTTTCGGCTGAAACCAGCTTACTTTCGACAACTCTACCTGTGAAGGAGTTGGGCGTGGACAAGGCGCCGATCTTTCAAACGCGGGTGCCGAAACCCGGTATATTATGGCGACATCTGTTGGGTTGAGAGCACAAATAAATGCCTTCGACTTTGAGGCAACGGAACTTGGGGCTTGGCACTGCCTGACACGACAGTAGCCCGGCATTACCTGTCGCGCATAAGCAGAAGACATGACCCTCCTGCAAAGCTTGAACCACATCTCCGCCGACAAACTTGTCCATGACGATACACCTCGGATCGGGACATTGCAACTTCGGCCATTTCTTGTCACGGAAATCATTCTCGAGCCACGCCTCGCACTGCCTGCCACGGGTTTCGGATCAAGCCGGATGCTTAGTCGCCTGTTCAATCAGATCAATCCAATGAGTCAAGCCGCACGAAACAGTTGTCAAAGAAAATGCCGAAGCACTTCACCTCAACTCGAAACAGAGCCGACACCTCGAGATACCTGGAGTGCATCTGCTGTCTTGCTGCGTAGCTTGCACACGTAAGCTGACACTTCCTTCCGTCCGGACAAAGTCGCAATGTTCGGATGATCCAGTGTCCGGATCAGTTCAGCTTCGCGCATGATGTCTTTTAACCTCATCTCGATTTGCGGCTCATGGCAGAGATTGCACAACAGCGCGGGGAAAGGGGAGGCAGGCCAGCTGTGCAGAATGAGTCCGAAAAACTCATTGTCGGAAATGCACCTGCAAGCCTGATTCGATATGGGAACCCTCATGTCCAGGTATCAATGTGCGTTGGGCATGGCACGGTGTTTCCACCTTGTCCACCATCTTGACTGCCTCATGACAAGTGGGCTCAGCATGCAAAATGACCAGAAATTGCTGCAGCAAAAAAATCAAACAAGCGAAGTGCCAGCCGGTGTACACGATTTGATGACACATCCGTTGGGGGATTGTTGCTTTGGGGCTGGAAAATGACATACAGTGACATACATGTCAGACATGCCAGTCCACTGCATTCATCTGCCTTCCTCATTGGTCGATTCACTCTAATGCACTTGTCCGAAGCTCGCTAACTGATCGGAAGTCCGACACGCCCGTTTCGAAGGGATGTGAAGCTCAGATCCTATAGCCATAACAAAAACCACTTGCATGTACCAGCTGCAGTCGCCGAGATTCAAAGTAATAGAATGCATGCTGGCAGCTGCATGCACGAAACAAAACGAGGATAGCCGAAGGCGCTTGTCCAACAATGTCAACACGAAAGTCTTAGCAAGGAGCTTATGAAGAACGCCTGAGAACAACTTGTGAAATCCGGGCACATGCTCCTCGCCGGTGATGATGTGATCACCTTGGCACTACTAGTTTCAATGGCATTGGAGGGCGACATCGTTGATCGTTGGAACATCGTGACATGGGCCAGTTGCATTTGCTCCCGCCGTTCCAGTGTTTGAGCACAAAATCCGCTGGGGCTTGAGTTATGGGGTTGCTCCAATTTCAGACCACATGAGGTAATGCCGTCCATGTGGCAGCTCCAGACCACGCCAAACGAACCTGACAGGGCGTCCAGTCTAGACAAACGAGCAAAAATCAATCAGAATGTGATTTCGCTTTCGACGCCGAATGAACGACCACGGGCAAAATTGACGTCGTCCCCGCCCACATACACAGACGCACACACAGACAGAGCAAAGGCGGAGGCAGAAGCAGAGACAAACACACACACACACAAACACACACACACGCACACACACACACAGGTATGTTGCAGCAGTGTTAAAACGGACGGCTTCTTCCTCAACAAGATAACAGGCCCGATAATAGCACAAGCCAGGCAGGCATGAAGAGAGGCGTGCAATGTGAGAATATCTACGACCTTGCAACGGACATCCGGGCCTTCGCCCAAGACGCCGCCAAGTTTGTAATGGTCAAGCAGTCGAGACTGCAAGGCCGTCACCTGAGGCTCGTTGTGACTGTGCACAAACTAACCCGGGGACCCAAACTAAGCCGCGGGCATCTTGTGGTTCAGACCCCGTTCGGCTTTGCAGTTCCTGGATCACCTGCTCCTGACCTCGACCAAACAAACTTCGTCGCAGATGCATCCGCTTATAGTCGTATAGGATCTGCGACGCAACACGCAACTTTGCAAGCTGCACAAATGGCCCACAAACACACCGACGAATATACACTAAATGCGCGTCGGGCAACCGCCCGAACTTCTGCAGGGACAAGATTCCGTGGATCCCATGGACCCAACGTGCGCCTGGAGTTGGTCAGTTGGCAGTTTTACCGTCATCCACCATTCTTCTTTTTTTCTTTGGTACAAAACGAGGAAGCCAACCCTTGCAAGAATCCTTTTTGAACTGTATCAGTCCATAGTGCCATAGTGCAATATAGTGCATGGATTTTTCATGTGCATGAATACGAGCTGGAGAAAGTCGGCGGTTCGCAGTGGGCACTGGGACACAGACATTTCCCTCTCTCCGTCATGACAAATGCACACGAAAAAATGCCACACATGCCGAGCCTGTTACATCCCAATTGAATCGATCGCAGGAACGGCAGCAAAGGCGGCCGCAGCGCCCGCTACAGGTTCTCCCACATGACGCATCACAACCTCGAAGAAGGCCAGATGAATTTGTGGACGAAAGATCTGTCATCAGTGATTGTCTGAATGTTGGATGGCTGTTTGCTTGATGGGCATCCGCCTTTAAATCGTCTGCTAAAGCAGCTGCTGAACCAAATTCCACCCGGATACGTGATTGTCCGACGGATATAAACTCTTGATTCACTCAAACGTTCACCACACACCGCAGGCCTAGCTAGAGGCGACGACGACTTCGATTTCTTGTTGCCAACACGTAAACAACGTAAAAACCCAGCTCGCGCAGCTGCCGCGGAACTCAATCTCCCACGGCATCAGAGGTTGGCTTCCTGCTATGCCATGCAAGAATCTTTTTTTTTCCACACGCCTTTTTGCGTCCGCTATGCACCGCGCCCTGCCGGCGGCGAGGGATAGCTTGCGGATGCTTGCGGTGGCGGTGCGATATTTAATAAGCAGTGGCCAATGCTGCTTTGGGACAAGCAGACCACACACACACACGTCATACGACCTGTACTTGTGCAAGCGCGGTCTCATGCAGTCCCTGTGCATCCGCAAGCAACATTGCGTGTGTGACCTACGAATAGGTCCTCAAGCTGGGGGCCCTCTATGCCCTTTGCGTCCCGGGCATGTCTGCAAGGCGCAAATTTCGAGCGACCCGAACGCAAGCCTCTTGGCACACTCAGGCGACAGCTCGAGCCTGAGCGGGAGGGCGCGGGAGTCACGTCCTTGCCTCACCTAGGCCCCATGCTGCCTCACCGCAGAGCTGAGCACGAGTTGTCCGCTGGCATAGTAATGCCACAAGAAGGCCACAGCGGCCGGCCTGCAGCCGGCAAGCGTGCCGCTCTTCGAAGCGCAACTTCTCCTCAACCTGAGTAGTGGCGCAAGCAGACTGCCGGCGACCGTTCCTGTGCACCTCCTGCATCGTCCTTCTGGGCTTGGACTTTCGCAGCGCAGCCTTGGTGGCAGCGGCCGCATTATGCCGCATTTCAGCAACGAGTGCAACGGGCAAGCGCCCTCGGCGGCCGCGTCAACCGCTGCGCTGCACCTCATCGCGGGGCCGCCCAGCCACTGAAAGCACCGAGCCCCGGGCTCGCCCTCTGGCTCCTCGTCCAGATTTTTAAACACACCTTTTTTCGCAAAGATCCGGCCCGGTCCCTGTGCAGACTGCAATCTACGGGGAAAGAGGCGCCGTTGTTGGGCCGGCACACGGCTGCGGTTCAATCAGCGAGTGCGAGGCGGTTAGGGTGCACATCACCTTGCGGGCAAGCGACTGGCATGCGGCCGGGAGAGGGCCATCGACAGTAGCGGTGCAGTGGAAGGGCAATGACGACAACGAGGCGGCAAAGGCCCTGGCGCCCGCAAAACAAGATTTTTTTTCTTGCGAGGTCGGCCAATGTGCTGGGTCGAAGGCCTAGCCTACCGCAACCGGACTCAGTAGGCACACTCACCGGAAGGGCGAGGATTTGCCATCTGCACGTCAGAGACTGGCTGAGCAGATGGCCCTTGCCAGTCCAACGCGATCCCCGGCAGCCAGGCATCCCACGCGAACAGCACACCATTCACGCAACCCCTACGCAGGATTGGTGACGGCGATAGCTCGGGAGAGAGAAGGCGGATCGCTTGTTGCGTGCTTCAT